GCTCTCATATCCCCATCATATCCCCATCAGCCCATCATTGCTCTCATATCCCCATCATATCCGCATCACCCCATCATTGCTCTCATATCCCCATCATATCCCCATCATATCCCCACCATATCTCCATCAGCCTGTGTGCCCCATGCATGTGCGTACAGCAGCCCTGCGCAGTCTTCCCGGCACCCACGTGGCAACTGCCTCCTGCCCCCCTCCCCCCTCCGCCCCACGGAAGCCAGGCCAATGACAGCGTGCCTCCGGCAGCACGCTCTTGAGCAGCCAAAGGCAACGCAATGCAAGAGAGAGTGGATGAGGGCACTGCAAGGAAAGTATGACAAAATTCATGCAGCACACGAGGCTCTACAGGGCGGAAAAGTTGAGAAAAGCAGCAGGAGGGGGGTGAAAGGCCAACTGCGAGACCCGTGGGGGGCTTGGCAGGAGACAAACGAGCGGCGATCACGAGGATCTGTGAGGCAGGTGAGCAGGCCACGTGGAAGATAGACTTCCTATCCAATGGCAGAACCCCAAGACCTCCATCGTCCACCGTAGGCAGGTACAGGGGGGCGGCGCCGGAGTCTTTAGACTATGGTTAGCAAGGTTCCCTCTGGAATTCAGTTACGAATGTGAATGTTTTGCATTGGAATAGTGCAAACTCGTTCAAAAAAAACTTTCCGAAATTTTCTTTCCCAACACCTTCGCAAACACTCTACAGTTGATTTTGAGAACCAGCCAACCATACCTAACGTCGGGTTGGGCTTTTACAGATCACACTTTTCACTCGAATGGAATCTTGAAGGTAGGAAAGTGGGGTCGGGAGCTTCCTCTACAGGCAAACGTTGGTCTCGTTGCCATTCCATCGCCATTCACCCCCCCAAGCAGAATTGCCTTGGAATGGCCATGGATTGGAAGGATGTGGAGGGTGGGGATGGGGAATTGGAAGGTGGGGATGGGGGTTCTTGATCCCGTTGCCACCCTTCCGCTTTCTAGCGCGAAATTTCGCGATTTGGCCATTCCCTCCACACCTATTCGGGAGGTTCCTCCTCTGGTTCGTGATTCCACGGCCATTCCGAGGTAGCTGCGGCCTACATACTTCGAGCGGGAGGCCTGGGATTATCACTTGAAAACAGGGTGACCAGTTTTTGGACTCGGCCCCCTTACCTGCAAAACTAACGGTTGAGAGGGTGGAGAGAGGGGGTTGGGGTTCTTTCCGCACGAAACCGAACTCCCCATGTTGTTTCCCGCCCTTCCGCGGACCCTCCTCCAAACCACCCGTCAGCACGAAATTGGGCTGGATTCGCGTTTCCTGGGATGTTCATACGGCGCGGCTCGGGAAAAACCCCGCCCACGCCTGGGGATGTACGGGGCGCGGAGCTATTGCGGGAGGCGTGGGCCGAAGTCGGCCCACCAGGATCCCACCAGTTTTGGGACCTTGCGCGGCCCTGCGTGGCTTAGTGAAACCCACCAGGCTACCACCGAAAGCTCCGCGCACACCCCAAAAACCGAAAGAACCCACCTCGTTCTTACGCGCCAATGCATGCGCAACTCTGTAAAAAACGCATGCGATTAGTCGCATCACAGTCAAGTGGGAATCCGCGCGCATGCAAAATGCGCGTTCGCGAAACACACGGAGTGTCATGATTGGCCGAGATGTCTCGAAGCATGTCGCAAACAAAATTCGCACAAGGATAGGTTTGGTGAGCGCACTGCGAGTGTTGGTTCTAAGACACCTGGCGCGATCTGACAGGCACCATGCTGACTGACACATGCAGCAAATTGAGCGTCACACACAGGTGTCGCTGTTTGGTCGAGACGCGAACGCGGAGATGTGTCAAGCACGTCTTTGCCGTGGCCGGTCATTACACCCAGCATGGCCACAATAGCGCTTTATGCTCGCTAGTTGCACACCAAGCTACGCCCTCTCTTGAACCCATTGAATTTAGATGACTTAGGCGGGAAATGGGCATCTTGTGTCGCGGTCACAAGTTGGGCCGCGCTTCAGTGTTAGTGGGCTCCCTGGCCGCGATGCTCATCACGAACCGATAACACACGCGTGAGGACAGTCCATTCCCGGATGTACACGTAGACCTCGCATCATGTTGACGCGTGCGTTAGGTAGGAGTAGGGGTAGTCGCGTACGGTGCATGCATACTGTTAATTGCGTCGCGACGACGCTAATTCACGACTCCACTAATGCATCTGGCAGTACGCCCGGGCCGATAATGCACAATGCGGACGTAGCTAGCGCTCCCGTGCCAAGCATGCCCGCGCTCAATCCCACCTGGAGCACCCCCTACGTGCCTGTAGTTTTTGGGTCACGATTGCCCGCGTTCCACCCACAACAACTGATCAACGGGATTCAACTCGCACCACGCTCACAGATTCCACTTGCTGGGCCTCGTTCGCGTTTCAGATGCAACGGGATGACCAGTGGACGCACGGAGTATTCACGCCTCATCCCGGAACAGAGACTGACGGACACAACCCGTCTCCGGCGTCCGGGCCGACAAGCTAGCCCTTTGGGATGCCCGTACAGGGCTACGTCGGGCCGCAATACGCGAATTACGGGTTCAGGTACGGGTACATCGGCGTTCAGCCAGACCCCGTGGTGCACGCACCTGCAAATGTCGCGACGCCTCCAGTCGCCCCCGCAACCCCGTTTCCTAACCCGATTCACGCGGATATCCCACCAACGGGGCCTCCAGATCGTATAGGTCCATCGGAGGCCGGTGTGGACACACACGCGCGACCAGACGGCCTGTCAATGATCGCGGGTGCGGAGGTGATAGGACGTGCGGTGACTGGTGAAGCAGGGATGAATGCAATCGCGCGTGCCAATTGCCTCCGATATGGAACGTGAACTCGCTGTTGCCAGGGAACCCGGACGTCCACATCAGCACCCCCGGTAGAGGTATGCAACCACAGTCGAACGCGATGAATGCGGGGAGAGGGACCGGCGCAAGAGGGAACGTGGGGAGAGGGCCCGGTGCGATAGGGAACGAGGGGAGAGGGACCGGTGCGAGAGGGAACGCGGGTAGAGGGAACGTGGGGGGTGGGACCACGGGGAGGGGGACCGGTGCGAGAGGGAACGCGGGTAAATGGAAGGCGGGGGGTGGGACCACGGGGAGAGGGATAGGTGCGAGAGGACACGGTGGGAGAGGTGCCTGGGGAAGAGGGGCCAGTGGGAGGGGCCGGGGGTAGTGCTAACGGGGGGAGCGCTCCTGTGGGACTGGAACCGGTGCGCGAAGGAACGGTAGTAACGCGAACGGCGGTGCCGCGAACCAGCCTGCTAATAGGCCGTGTATTAGGAGGCGGAGAGTTGATGTAGTGCCGCACACCAAGCGCAACGGGACCGGGGAGGGGGCGAGGGGCTGAGCGATGAGGACGTCGACGACGATGATGATGACAGCGATAGCGGCGACGGGTGGACCTAGCTAACTCGTTGTCCGCGCTCCATGAGGGGGAGGCGAAAGACATGGAACAGGTGAGGGGAACGCGGACGGACAACGAGGTCCCGATCGCGGATTGGAACCGGCTTGGTGTGGATGACACACCTGCCACGAAAAGAGAGATGTGCATGGGAATCCTCTACGGTCTATCCGAGGCCATGCTGAAGAAGAATCACGGTTGGGCCAACGAGTACAAGCGGTTCATGGCGCACGAGCTGCCAAAACTGGACGGGGGTAGGTTCGGGGAGGAGGCCGCATTGAAAAACGCGAACCCAGTCGAGATCGGGGCTGCGCTCGAATAGAACATGGGTGGTAGTTGGAAGATGGCGAAGGGCGACGAGCAGTGGTTACACGGCACTGAAAAAATCTGTGGCGCTTACGCAAATACGTGACCTTCCTCGCGAACGAGACGGTCGCACAGGCGGACAGGATGGCAACACTCAAGCGGCCCGACAAGACATTGAAAAAGAGACGCCAATGCACCCCTGCAATGCTGATGGGGCGTCTCAAGGCTCTGAACCTGCTCATCAAGCTGGATGGGGCCATCTTCCGAAAACCCGTTCTGAACCTGCTGCGCGACTTTGCGGAGTGTCGCATCTGGGTCCGCGTTCAAGTACGCGACCAGTACAAGCGGTTTATCGCGTAAGTATCAGCACCCACGCACCGCGTTCAACGTCCAGCAAACCGCGTCCACTAACACTGGCACAATCGTCCAACTGGTTGCGCAGGGAACACATGGATCGCCATCGGGGCACGGCCGCGGACACGTACACCCCGGACGAGTTCAAGCACATGATGCGGAAGACCAGCATGGCCGCCATCTTGAGCAGCTTCACACTAGCCAATAAATCCTATACGCAGGCTCTGCATCGCGATCTCTGCATCCGGACGATGACCGTGCTCGGTCATCACACTCTGTCATTCTGGATGACGCGCGAATTACATGCTCGCGTGTGGTTCACGCGACCAGGGCTGGGGGGCGTAGCACGTGTCCGCGGACGGAATGCCTTCGGATCAGTTGGCGAAACTGGGGCGTTGGTGCTTCATCGACGTGATGACTAAGCACTACCTCACAACTATTCCGAGGGAGGCCGTGTTGCTGAAGGCTGGCCTCACAGGGGTTGACGGTGACTACTTCCTAGGTCGCGCAACTGTTCCGGTGAGCGAGGAGCTGAGAGAAGCTGTTGAGGAAGCACATTTTCCCCTGGACCGCCCCGGACAAAGGACAAAAACAGGTATGTGTGGGTCGCAAACTATACCTTCAACCCTACCGCGAGCGTTTAACATAACCCTCTGCCACCGCGTTCACTACCGCGTTGTTGTGTTGACACAGTGCAAAGATTACAACCGGAAGATGGTCAAAGAGGACAAGGCGGAGAAACAGGACACCGCGGGTCTAAACATACTGAAGGAGCTGGATGGGGAGGCTAGGATGGCGGTCGCGCAAGACCTGGCCATGTACTACATTCACCAGCCGCGACACCCGTTCGTGGTCAATAACCGCTCTGCCAGATGGAGGAATTGCGTCGTGGGCTGCAGATGTCTCCTTCGTAAATCAACTGGCCATAGTACAGTGTAACATACCTACACTGACCAAGGGCGCGGTGAGTATTGCATGGTCGCGCTATTTATTCGGCTGTAATGTCAATGCCAAACCATCACAAGTCCGCGGTCGCGTTCTGTCCATGCAGGAGGTCAGTACCAGGATGGACGCGCAGAACCAGGTGACCGTTCTCACGAAGTATCTGACTCGTTCGCAAGAGGACAACACCAGGCTGGGCCTAGATTTGGTCGCGACCCAGAAGCGGGTGAAAGAGCTGGAGGGTCAGTTGGAGGAACGCGACCGACAGCTGGCCTCGAAGAACGAGCGCGTGAATGATTTGGAGGCCCAGCTGTCGCGTCTCACCGTTAGCAGCTCAGGTCCGACCGCGGATCCAAGCCCGGCAAACACTCCTAGAGCCGCGTCCGCGCCTACCAATGCCACCACTCCCACTGACCAAGGGACGCGGAAGAAAACCGCACCGCCCACCAGGGAACAGACGATTCGGAACGCGATCGTCCTCCCATGGGTCAACGCGACCAAACCGTCAGACGGATGGAAGATGTACAAAACCACGCACCCGCCGATCCGCGAGAGTCCAGAGTCGCTTCTGGCCCAGCCCCACGATGCAGTTACGTGATTGGCCGAACTCATTGGGAAGGAGGGAGGCGGCCAGACACGCGATAAACCGTGTCAAGCGAGTCATGGACTTCATCGCCCACAGCGTGAGCAAGGAGACAACATCGCGGTAGTGCTCGTACAAGCTCGACCTCGTGTCAGGAGCTGTGGGCATGTCGGGTGCATCGGAAGGGATCGCGGTAAAGAAGAAGAGTGTTGACCTGGACCTGAGCCAGCTCAAGAAGGGTTCTCCGGTGGAGGTGCAGTTGCGTGTTAAATGGATGCTTGTACGCGACCGCCTCATCGATTGCCTCGCTTCCCGCGTCTGAGTTCACGTTCGCGTGGCCTCAGTACTGTGCACAAATGCCACCGCTAGATTAAATGAGGTGGTAGAACATTGTGAATCCCCCTCCCCCCCCCCCCCCCCCCCCCCCCCCCCCCCCGCTCCACACCCTATGTCGATCACGTTACACTAGTATGACACACATTGGTATCGTGTGTTTTGGGCTGCTGCTCGCGATGAAAGAACCAGCACCCGCAATGTATGGAAACGGAAAGTACTTCCACACGTTTTTTTACAAATCGACCGGACGAGCTTGTTTTGTGGTGCCCGATCCGCAATAGTCATGTTTCAGACATTTTTCCAAATGTCAACACCATTATTCTCACGCTATAACACTCCCACACGAGTATCCTTCATGCACACAGGTCTGCAAGCCCTGCATAATCCACCGCGAGTAGAACTCAAGCAGGGTGGACAAGCTACACACATGCTACGCGATACGCACTCAAGTCCGCTTCTTCGCGGACAGACGATCCTTGGGCAGGGCAAGGTAAAGACCCATAGACTCCATGACCTTCCCTGCAACCGAGCAGTCGCACCAAGTGACGATAACGTCCACCGTTTCGCGGGCGGCCAACTCAATGTGCCTGAGATCGCGAGACTTGGCGACGACCTCGTTCACTACTCCAGTCACAATTGCGGTCGCGACCACCTTCGGGTCCGCGACAACCTGCGGCTCGTCGTCCTCAGCTTGCAGCTCGCGGGCATTGCGCTTCCGCACCGCATTGACGACGTACGCGGAAACTATGGGGAAGAGACGGCTTGGCTCCCCATAGCAACCAGCAGCTCGCGCGGCCAAATGTCCATTATCCGCTGCGGCCGTGACGTTAGAACCGCGAGTCACCTCCCACACCATTGCAATCGCGCATGCGACCGCTCCCGCGTAGTCCGTCGGTTCCACATCGCCGAGCTCCGCTTCTTCTGCTGCAGCCTCCTTGCCTACCACTGCGGCCCATGCAATCTCGTTGGTGGTGTGCATTCCGGGCTTGGTTAGCCCGCGATAGGATTCGAACATGCGCTGCCACCTGCCACGCAGTGGGTGGAGCGGCCAGAACATGATAATCAACCTCCCCCCGCCCCACCCCCCTCCCCCCCCCCCACCCCCCAACAACCTACAAAACCGTATGAACGCACTAGATGATGGTGGTCTGGCACAGCTCACCTGTCCTTGCTGGCTACAAGATTGCGGTAGTGCATGGTGATTAAGAGGCCCGTATGTAACCCCTCGGCAATGGACAGGTCCGCGGTCCAATCTCGAAGCTGCTTCTGGCTCAGGTTCAGCCCGGGGTCCACCTTCTTGTCGTAGGGCAGCATCGCGATTGCGGTCTTGTACTGCAGATCTTGGCGGTCGCCGTGTTCGAGCCAAAGCTTCTTTCCCCCCAGATGCGGTTCAGAAACCAAGCCGGGTCCACCCCTGGGTGGAGCGCGGATACCACAGCCCCTGCGCTTGCTGCTGGTGTCACCCTGTCCTCCCGTTGCGCCACCTGGTACGACCACGGGGTCTCCGTCTTGCTCGTCCGCGCTCTCCCCGCCGCTATGAACCTCGACCTCGGCCTCCCCACCCTGCTCTCCTCCGTCGCCCGCCTCCAGGACCCACCTGCTCACGAGAGTCTGCACCTCGTCGTCCGCATCGTCCTCGTCGATCGTGTACACGGGTGTAGGGGACAACTTCTTGCCACCCCTGCTGCGTTTCTCCGTCTTGACCTCAACCGCGGCAGCGCTCGGACCTACAGATGCAATAGCGCTACGCCCTTGATGTCTTGCGGTAGCATGAGTGGGTGCGACCGCGGTCTGCTTGCCTTCCGTCGCTGCAGCCGACGCGGGCTGGGACCTCGCGCCTCGCAGCCAGCGAACCCGCAGTAGCGGGCCCCTCCCCATCCTCCGCCTTACCCTTGCCCTTACCCACGGTAGCCGTCATTGTCGCGGTTGCCCTGTTAGGGCCCGGTGGTTTGGGTGGAGCTTCTCCAGGTGGGATGGAGCGTGAGCTCAAACCCGGTTGAGCAGGCTGTGCTGCACCCCGCGATGCAGCGCCCCACTTGTGCTTCAGCAAGTCCTGCACGCTCGGGTTGCGCACCGCGGGCCGCTGCCTGCGGACCTCTCTGCCTCTTCAGCCCCCGCTGATTCTCAGCCCTCGCGCTTGCCGCCCGCTTTCCATGCTCTGCATCCCTGGGCTCGGCATTCTCCGTCGCGGCTGGTTCTTCAGTTTCAGTGCGCGGCGGCGGGCTTCCTCCAACGAGCACGATAAGCGTGTGCAGCGCGTTCGTGACCCCGCTGGTTGTGATTTCCCGCTCTGCTGTCGCGGCGATCGCAGTCGACATGTTGTCAATCTTCCGCGCAACCTCGTCTGTCAGCTTCTTCTAAGCGGTTTCCATGGAGTCTGCCACCACCCCCTGCAGCTGTCCCAACCTTGCGTCCACTTGCCCTAGCACCAGCGCCTCCTGGTTATGCGTATCGCCCAGTACTGCCCTTTCCAGCGCGATCGCCCTCGCCTCCTTCTCCAATGCCCGAACCGCATTAGCAAGTGCGGACACGAGCTCCTCATGGCCCACGACTACGACCCCACCAACGCCCGACTCCGGGCATTTCTTCAGCCGTGCGATCTCTTCTGCCTGCGTTGCAAGCTTGCAGTCGAGTTGCGTGATCTCGGCTGCAAGCTTATGAGATGGCAACACGGACATGGAGTTGTAATCACGCGCAACTCTCACGGGACTCTTGCCCCCGACCTCACCGCTCGGGCCCGCGCTTCCAGCACCGGGGACCAAATGCTGCGCGAAATGCTTGATCCTCTTGCCGGATGTTGTGGGCCTGCTTGCTGCCGCGGCCGCGACCACGTGTGCCTCCGCCTCCTCCTCGCTCGACTCCTCCCCCTCACACCCGGTCTCATCTAGGGGTGCACCCTTAGCCGCAGTATCCTTTGCCCCTTCGTCATCGGCGTTGACCACTGTCCCCCCCCCGCGTACCTCCGCGGTTCGAGACACCAGCGGCACCAGTGAGAGCGAGAACCTGCGAACCCATTGACACCTTTTGCACCTTCCCCAGTTCAGCACCGTCTGCCTCAACGCCGTTCTGGGGACGCGTCATATCCACGCTCAGGTTGAGCGCGAGCTCCTCGGCAGCGCGGAACGTCTCCAGCCGCAGTGCATGCAGAGTCTTCGCGTTAGGCTTTGAGTATTGCGGCCCAGATCCACTGGCAACCACTGCGTCCAGCTGGGTCATGATCTTGTCGAACGCGAACAGACAAGCGAGGTTGCCAACGGAGCCCTTCAATGACGCCGCGTCCTGAAAAAACAAAACATGTCATTTGTTAGCACGGTTGCTCATCACGATGTCAGAATGTTATAATTGTCTAGCCTGCAGTGGGGTACTCTAAAGCGAGTACAACCCAATTAGGGTTTCCTATATGTATGCCAACTGCTGCTAGTGCCTCCTCTTCTTCATTCCTCATTCTTCACATGCTAGCAGAGCATCTACGCTCCTGGCCTGTGGGCCCACCTAACTGCTTCCGCTGCTACTCTGTGTTCTGCACGCCCCGTGGCGTGCCCCTCGCGCGACCCTTAGCGGACCCCGTCGCCACCCCTCGCGGCCCCGTCGCCGCCCTTCTCGGCCCCTCGCGGCCCCTTCGCGGCCCCGTTGCCGCCCTTCCAGGCCCCTCGCGGCCCCTTCGCCGCCCTAAGTCGCCGCCCCTAACGGCCCCGTCGCCGACCTCTCAGGCCCCTCGCGGCCCCTTCGCGGCCCCGTCGCCGCCCCTAGCGGCCCGTCGCCGCCCTTCCAGGCCCCTCGCGGCCCCTTCGCGGCCCTGTCCCCAGCCCCTAACAGCCCCTTTGCCGACCTCTCAGGCCCCTCGCGGCCCCTTCGCGGCCCCGTCGCCGCGCCTATCGGCCCCGTCGCCAGCCTCCAGAGGCCCCGTCGCCGCCCCTTGCGGCCCCGTCGCCAGCTCCTACGGCCCCGTCGCCGCCCCTATCGGCCCCGTCGCCGCCTCCAACGGCCCCGTCGCCGCCCCTTGCGGCACCGTCGCCGCCCCTAACGGCCCCGTCGCCGCCCTATCGGCCCCGTCACCGCCTCCAGCGGCCCCGTCACCGCCCCTTGCGGCCCCGTCGCCGCCCCTTTCGGCCCTGCCTCGACCCTGCCCCGGCCCCGCCCCGGCCATGCTCCGTCGCCAGTCGCGGCGCACCGGGGGCACGTGGCACCGCCCCCCCCCCCTCTTTTCCCGTCGTCTGTCGAGGGGACCTGAGGGGCGACCTGGGGGGGGGGGGGGGGGGGGGGCGAGCGTCGCCCCTTTTGCCGCCTGCTTTGGCGCCCTTGGAGGCCGCGCGTCGCCCCCCCCCCCTTCCCCCCCCCCCCCCCCGTAACCTCCCTACCCGCCATCCCGCCCTGCCCTGTGTTAGGGTTTGGGGTGGCGAGTAGGGGGTGGCGGGTGTGTGGTCTCCCCTGCTCCTCCTCCTCCTCTGTCTCCCACTGCTGCAGCTGCCGCTGAGGGGGGTGGGTGTGTGGGAGTCGACGGAGTGGTGCTAGGGGGTGGGGTGTGAGTGAACCTAGGGTGCAGCAGGGGGTGTGTGAAAGGGGGGTGCTGTGGGAGTAGAACTAGGGTTTGAGCAGGGGGTGTGTGTCGAGAGGTGTAGGGCAGCTGGAGGAGGTTGTGTGAAGGTAGCTGTCGTGTCGCCTGCAGCGCCAGTAGTCCGTCGCCCTTGCTTCGGTAGCCACTGAGCCTGTTGCACCAGTCGCCAGTGGGTCCGTTGCTCCTGCTGCTCGTCTATAGCTGCGGAGCCAGTTACTCTAGTAGTCCGTCGCCCTTGCTTTGGTAGCCACTGAGTCAGCCGCTCCTGTGCCCGTGCCTCTGCGGCTTCAGTCGTTGCCTCCCATCTTCTCTCCCTCCACGGTTCCTCCTCCTCCTCACTTGCCCGCTGTGATTAACTCTAGCTTTGCTCCCTATTGTGAACTCCTGCTCTATGCCTGCTTGCTCATTGTGCTGATTACACCCCACTTTGGCTATGGGGGTGTGTCAGAATGTTATAATTGTCTAGCCTGCAGTGGGGTACTCTATAGCGAGTACAACCCAATTAGGGTTTCCTATATGTATGCCAACTGATGCTAGTGCCTCCTCTTCTTCATTCCTCATTTTTCACACACGAACGCGTCCACGACCGCGTACATCGCCATGACATACCAGATCAACCAAACGAGTGGGATCTTTAAGCTGGCGGGACCGGGTGCAATGAATGGAGCCGCGCGCGAAATTCTCGTCAACACGACCCTGAAACCATCTACCAATCGTACAGACACTGACGCGAACGTATGGTTATCCTGACTCGTGCAGCGGAACTGGAAATGACAAGCAGCATACACATGAACGTGACACTCACTCTACAAGCGCATCTGACGCGGTGATGTGTTCCGCACCACCAGAGGGGATAGCAACGCGAACGAACCTCGTGTTCCATGTCTCGTCCTTGTCAACCGACAGGTGGCCCGGGCGAAGGAGAAGGAGCATGCTAGCGTTCTAGGTCTTCTTGTCGATCAAGTTCCTGCACGGGGCATCGTTGACCGCGTTAATCCATAAAATGAGGGCACCACGATGTTCAAAACGTTCAGTGAATACTCACTCGGACCAGATGCAGAAAGCAACCATACTGCACTCCATCATACCGGCAAAGGTGTCGACCACGTCATCGCGACCCACGACTATATCCGCTACAACTTTGCTCGTCACGATCCGGACGCGCACCGCCGCACCCTGAGTCAGAAACCTCTGGACAATCACTCTGTTGGGTACGGGGTGATCTTGTTAGCAAGGTGAATGCTCTGTCAGTAGATCTGCACTGTGGATGCCCGATTGATCCTGGAGAGGGTTACAGGCGCGTTCGCCTGGGGGGGTTATGGGCGCACTGACCCGCTACTGAAACAAGCCCTTTTATCCCAATGGTCTAGTGGTTGGGATTCTGACATGGTATCAGAGCGGTCTCGGGTTCGATTCCCGGTGTATGCACATGTAGGCCGTTGCCGCTGTGCTTAGTCCTGGGCCTCCCATTGTCGGGGGGGTGTCAGTAGATCTGCACTGTGGATGCCCGATTGATCCTGGAGAGGGTTTACAGGCGCGTTCGCCTGGGGGGTTATGGGCGCACTGACCCGCTACTGAAAGAAGCCCTTTTATCCCAGTGGTCTAGTGGTTGGGATTCTGACATGCTCCGCGGGCGTACTACGCGATCAGGCTATTATAAACACATCGCGACCACCTTAGTACGCATGCACTTGAGAATCGTGACATGGTTTGAGGATATCTCACCCAACGACAAAGTCGAACAATTGCGCCGTTAACGGATGCTTCTCATCGCCAAGCAGTTTCCACTGGTCGGGTGCAAGCTCCACGTTAGCTCCCGCAACGGAGATGATAAACGGATAGGATGCGGCCTCCTTGTTACCAGATCTCAGTGCCTTTAATCCGTGAGCCATGACCGGTAGCACTATTCGAGCGCGAACAGAGGACGGGGAATCTATGAGGAACCGCCGGCAACAAGTTTCTTGCGACCGCAACGACTACGGAACTAGACTGATCGCGATCGCGGACAGGATGGAACGGAGCTACCACTAGCCGTTGCACTAAGCTGGGTGGATGGGGAGAGAGGGACGACAAAAGAAGAGAAATTGAAGATGGAGGAAGAGGATGAGCACCAGCCACCCTCACCGTGAACATAAGAGGAGGACGAGGAGCCATCAAAATGGGGTACTCGCGGTCCACCTGAGCGTGCATGCGAGCCCGCACCGCTTTGGACGTGTCAAGGGGGGAGGTTCCGCCACATGCACGCGTGTGTAACCACGTCCGCCACGTAGCCATCAGTCCGCGAGAACCATTCGGGGGGTGGTTACCACCACTCGCGGAGAGGACTATGCCTCATCGCCTCCGCCGTAATACGCTGCGTGGCGCTGGCGTGGCCCGGGCTCGGCGCGGGACCACCCTGCCAGCTGACTCCGCCGCCCGGATCTCGCTAGGGACCTGCAGCCGGGCGGGGCACTGCCTCTCGCGTGCAGCTCCCAGCTGTGGGTCACGACACCCCTTGCATCCGCGTGGGAACCCGGTTCCACCGGGAGGGGAACCTAGTGGATTCGAAGCCACCAGGGGCCGGATGGACTGTCTAAGTTCGTATGCTGCGGTGTTTCATGAAACATGGGCCCGGTTCGCAGACATTATGGCCATTATCGCAATTATGGGCATTTTTAACGGGCCCCCAAAAAATGGCGCCTGGGCATTTCCTGAAACAACTTCGAAATCGGAATGTAGCTGTAGCGCACCTTCAAAAAAAATGGCCTGAGTGTTCGGTTGGCATTAATTGGGTGTAGATTGATGGCATCAATCGAGATTTCGGGTTTCGCAGAAGATGCTAGGGAGTTGCCCTGATGGATCGCGTGAACATGTGATTGGCTGGCATATTTGACCAGTCACTTTTGACTGCCCGAATCACTGATACCCCGCATGGTGCGGGGCCTCGAGGCCGCATGGTGCGGCGGATCAGAAAATGGGCACTTTGCCAGAGAAACTGGGTTCGTGGAAGATTCGGGCAGTTGAAAACGCCTGCAAAAAAAAAGGGTGTTAGGGAGGCATTCCATTATTGTCAGGTTCGGCGTAGATCCGCTTATATCGAGCCTTGATAACCATTCACCGCGAGTATCAAGGAAGGTTCAAGGGTGGTCGTTTCACTGTAGCCCATCCCCCGATGCCATTTTTTTTAATGCCTACCGAACTGGGCCATGCTGACTTCGTTCTCCAATCAGGCCGCACGAAAGGGTGGGCATAACAAATACACCCAAAAAACACCACTTAGTATGTAGAGCGCAGCTCTAAGATGTGCTGGCGAACACCGCCTTTGTGTTTCCGCCATGGCAACATCAAAGCGAGTCTCGAAACAACAATCTAGGTCTGCTTGGAGATGATCTAGGTTACACCAGCAGGCACCACGTCGAGTACTATCTCAAACCCGATTAGTTTTGTGCGGAAACGGACGGACCGATTCGCTTTTCCAGACACATTTTTCAATGGTTTGCCTCATTCCATGGCAAAATCCAACGTGTTCAGAGCCCTGGGATGGTTGCAGCTTATGCGAAGAATGGATTCTTGAGCACTTATCCACCCCACGAGACTAAACGTGAGTGGATGGTTTGATTCTTCCCTGGAACTATGGTCACAATTGAAGGAGCCTCGCTTGCCTCGGGCATTGGCGGAATGC